CTGTCTTCCATGCACCTTCCCTCGCTTCACGTGTTGTTCAGTTCCAGCAAGTTCAGCTTTCGAGTCATGTCATCTTCACTCGCGGGATGAAGGAAGTCGATCTTGTCTGTTAGATGACCGTCATCTCCGTTCATGATTTGCAGGTTGTCCTGGAGGATATCGTCGATGTGAACAAACTCCTGGAACCTCGCATGAGCCTCTCCTCCTCCTCCCCCCCTCCCTCCTCCTCACAACGTCCGAGTCACTCCCTTCGCTCCTCTTCGTCTCCTCAAGAGCATGCTTGTCCACGATCGACTTATACGCAGCTGCAGCAGAGGATGAGGAGGAGAAAATCGATAGCTCGCAGCTGACCAAGTTCGTTCTGAAGGACAAGGAGGATAGAGGGAAGAACCTCTCGCGACTTCTCATCCGAGCAGACGCGCCATCGCAGGAGGGGCTCACTCTGAAAGCGAAGCTCTCGCAGGCGGAGCTTTTCGTTCTCCTGGTTGATCTTCGTCGTCTTGCGCAAACTCGTCAGAGGAGGAGGAGGGTAGAGGATCAAGAGCAGGGGAATGAAGAGCACAGAGGAGGGAGGAAGGCAAGGAAGGAGGAGGAGGAGGAGGAGGAGGAGGAGGAGGAGGAGGAGGAGGAATAACAATAAGATTGAGCAAGAACAAGAGCAAGAGCAAGAGCAAGAGCAAGAGCAAGAGCAAGATAAGACCTTGTCGAGGAGGGAGTGGACGCTGCTGTACTTGTTCATGAGGTTGAAGAGCTCTTCGTTGCTCTCATACATGATGACTCGCTTCTTGAGCACAAACACCAACTTCTCCAGCGCCTTCAGCTTGTCTTGCAGCAGCAGCATGGTGTCTATCCCCTCCATCACGGTAGCAGGAGAGGACATGGCGCTTCTTGTCGTCTCGTTCAGCGTGTCCTCTCGCTCCTCCCTGTTCTTTCTCAGCAACGTCGCCATCTCCGACTGCTTCGCGATCAGAGATGGGCTGCTCGGGCGCGAGGTGGAGGAGGCAGGATGTTTGTCCAGCTCTGCGGGAGGGACGATTGCGATCTCGTGTTCCTCTGATCCGCCCTTCATCGTGCCGCTGTAACGGAGGATGGCAGCATTGATATCCCTCAGGCTTGCTTCTATCTCTGTCTTGTTGACAACCTCTGCGATGATGTGAACTCTCTCATACATCTTCAGCTTCTCCACCATCTCCACCATCTGCTCCTGCAGCAGCATGTTGTGCTCCCTCACCTCCTCGAGCTCCTCCGCCAGCGCACGGGAGGAAGCATCAGCGTTCTTCCTTGACGCGTCCACATTCTCCAGCGCGTCGACAACGGCAAGAAACGTTTCCTTGTCAGCGCTGGGCGTCTTGGCGAGAGAGGACAGCTGTCTCAGTCTCGCGCAATGGTCCTCAAGGTTGCTTAACTTAGGAGTCTTTGCGCTCTTCGGCCGGATGGAGCTGGAGGGTCGCAGGGGCGCTGAGAACGGCCTTCTTGTCGCTTGCATGGCTGTGGGAGGATACTAGTGAACACGGCTCGATGCCATTCTTGCGCCTTCCTTCCTACATGTCAGCGATAAGAAGGCAAGGAGGAAGAGGATGGGAAAACAACGGGGCAGAACGGAGCAGGCAACAATGACTTGCATCATGAACAAAAAACCCTTTCGTTTACCTCCTGCTTTGCTTGCCCCTGCCCCTGCCCCTGCTCCTTCTTCTACGGCTCAGATCCTTTCTCTCACGCTGCTTCCTTGTGGACATGCAATCGATGAATATCATTTCAACCATGCCCCTTGGAGGATGAACAATCACTTGGATCCTTCTACCAGAAACAAAGTTTTCTGCTCCTGCTCCTGCTCCTGCCCCTGCCCCTGCCCCTGCCCCTGCCCCTGCTCTCCTGCTCCCGCTCCTGCTCCTGCTCCTGCATATCTACATCTACACGCCTCCATGCCCAACGGATTGGCCTTCTCGATCACCCCTACTCTGACCGCTTCTACAACCCCACCTGACTTTCTCCAGCCCCCCTTCGAAGTACCCTACCCTACCTTTTTCCATGAAAACTTAGTCAATCACCCACCTTCCAGTACGTACCCCCTCTTGCCCCCCCCCCCCCCCGTTCCTAGGCAGAGTCGGGATGGAGGGCTCTTGAGGGGACTCGAAGACGTACATGGATATCGAACATGCCATGCAGCAGACCCATCTGGGAGCAAAGAATAAGATGACGCTACACATTGCTGTACTTGCCTGCACTTCTGATCCTACATGGATGTCACTGCAGCACTGAGTCGAGATG